TTAGGAGTTTAGGGTTAGGGGTTTAGTTGAGGGTTTAGGGGTTTTGGGTTGGTGTTGGGTCATGCCGCGCATGCACACTATGCCGCATCGCACATGAGAGTTTCCATGCATGTGGGCGCCCCTTGCGTACCCCAGTGAACTAGATCTCCTTATTACGGCGGCCCCCAAACCCCAGGGATCCAAGTATACAAATAATGCCTACATTGGGTCCCAAAGGCGGTAAACATTACCTACATTGAGTTATTTGGATCCCGAAAGCCCAAACCCTAAACCCTAAACCCTATATTACCTACATTGGACTATATGGATCCCTATAAAAAGGAGAGCCCTAATTTTTGTAACCTAAGCTCTAAACCCTAAACTAGACTGTAAAGCCTAGACCCAAAACTCTAAACTCTAAACCCTAAAACCCAAACCCTACACCCTTGCAGGCATAAAAGAGGCGTACAAAAAAAAACAACCTACACCCTAAACTCTAAACCCTACACCCTAAACCACTGCATTCTGACACTGCTAGACGAGAGCCTTTGGGCCAGGCAGACAATTTAGGGGAGTTTGAGGTTTAGAGTTTAGGGGTTAGGGTGTAGAGTTTAGGGTTTAGGGTTTAGCGTTTAGGGTTTAGAGTTTTGGGTCTAGGGTTTAGAGGGTTTAGATTTTTTTGGGTTAGGGTTTGGCGTTTAGGGCTTAGGGATGTGGACACCCCACCCTTTAATGGTGGTATAATGAATTTAAGAGGACCCTGATATAATCAACAGTATCTCTTATGGTCACTAGTATTGGGTGGGGCGTTCACGTAAGATATAGGGTTGGTTATATAGGGGTCATAAGAGAAATTAAGTTGGTCACTAGTACTGTGTGCGGCGTTCACCAAAGATACGGGGTTGGTTATATAGGGGTTATAAGAGAAATTTTTTTGGGTTTCAGTGGTGATGTGTGCGTGTACCGGGATAGATATGATTAATTTTTTTCTTTTGATACGATTTGGACCATTGCACGTCCCAGACGGGCAAGCTGATAACCTCTGAGCACATAAGCCACCCAAGAGCAACGCATAAACAACCCAAACCTGAGTTCTGGTGTGGTCCTCAAGGGTCCATGTACCCAAATAACAGGGTCTGCAGGTAAAAAAACACGACTACAGTATGGCATGTGGGATGAAAATCCTGATAAGTTATTTGCGTACTTGGGCTTTTGGGGTGGTTTCATTTGTTCGGTGTTGCACTGCCGAGCCAATCATGATGCCAAAAGTGTCCGACACGCCCATTTGTTGAAACAAGCTGCACCTATAGATAGTATGCCGAAACCACAAAACATCACAAAACCACGGCGAAACGATTTAAGTGTTGTTGTGTGCTATTAAAAACACATGTTGCTTTAGAAAGCATCGCCATGGTTGCCGCATGATTTGGGGTTCTGCTGGTCCCAAAACTGTCGATTAAGACCAGAAGTGTCCAGAACAGAGCACAGAAAGAAAGCGTAGATGATGTCGGTCATTGCACCGCAAAGAGACTACATACCACAGATCGCGTCACATGTTTGATCGGCAGTGCATGTTGCAAGAGATGTTGTCCAGCTCAAGCAATGCGATAGTCCAAAATCCTGAACCTGACACCTCTCGAAAGCACGTCCTCTCGATGAGTTTACCTTCTCAAAGAGAAAGGCATCATAGAGGAAAGCTCATCTGAGATTCTAGAGCTAAAAAACAGGCCTTCAGAAATTCTTGTTTCACCACTTGAATTCTTCTCCACGGCCTGGGGAACCTTCAGTCCACATGCGAGAATTGTAAGTCAGTGGTCTCCCGTGTGGGGTTTGCTGCTTCGCCTTGTTGAATTTGCACCGGAGGCTGTCCGACATGTCGGACGAAGAAATCGTCCAAGGAACGTTGCGGGAGATGAAGGACTAGCTTCCTTGGCTCGGGCTGGGTTGAACCTGCAGCGCCATTTACGAACATTCAATGGTTCGTCGTACCTAGTTTATATTTACTAGTTGCGGGGAAGGTGCTACAAAACAAGGTTGCGGTAGGACTTCTGAGGAAGAAGCACCCATCTGTCGAAGGTCTGTCAGTCTCGCCATGCACGCTAGCTAGGTGCACTCTAAAATTTTGGGACCTAATGCCCCGAAATATTATGGTACCCTTAGGGCTTTAGACTCAAAAACCCCAAGGATACCACAACAGCCGGGCATTAGCTCCCAAATGTTATAATCTGAGCTGTTACCTGAAGCCCTCTTACTCGGAAAGTTGGACTTCCAAGGAACCCCACACGAGCAGACCGGGGATCAACACTTGTTGGCTGATTCTTGTTAAGTGCGTGTGAAACTCCCCTTTGTCGCGGTCCTCTCCCTCTGCTGTTACACACGTCTGTGGCGGCCCTTGTTTCAAACCCCTGGGTCGTAAGACCTGGGTTGTAGGGGCGGTTGGTTGCAGGGGTCTGTCGCATGACCGGTCTTTCTCTTACAAACCTGCTGTCATAGGATGGCCGCCCAAGGCCTGTTTCAAACCAAGCCGCTCCCAATTTCAATTATAGTTAGATATATATATATGTATATATGTATACACATATGTACACATATATATATATGTATATTTATACTTGTATACACGCTACACCGCTGAATGACAGGTTCCCCACCAAACCCTTTTTATCCCTTTTTGCCCTGCTGGGGTGTCCTAGGCCTTATTGCAGGCAAGTTTATGCAAAAAGGGAGCCCTTCGGTTCCGTAGGTAGTGTTGGGTATCCTACACTACCTTCTTGCTCCTAGTCAGGCGTTTTGGTTTGGAGCTTATATCTTGAGAGGAGCATGCCAAGCACCAAGAAACCTCGAAAACATGGTGCGTGACAGAGATGTATTAAAAACGAGCCTCGAGTTTCGCGTTTTTTGGGTTCGTGCTGCCGAGTCAAACCTCCTCAGAACCCCAAGCTCCATGCAATCAGAGAGCTAGTATTATTAGTATGGCTATTACTATCACTGTTACTATGAATATTACTATTACTATTACTAGTCCTATTACTATTGCTGTTAGGAGCAGTTTCCGAAAGCCAGGGAGGCCAAGGTGGAGCACTCAGTGGTCTGGGACTCAGCGCTCTGTTTTCCGGTTTGTTCAGCGGGATTTGCTGGCTTGCTGTTACTTTTCGGGGGAAACCCGGTTATTTGATATATATATATACCCATTATGTCATTATGGTAACTTGTTTTAAATTCCTGAACAGCCACCCAGTTTTTTGAAAGATGTTGGACATGTGAGTCTTAGCATGGCCCGGGGTTTCCTAAGGAGCGAATGCCGGAAGTGCATGGTGCTCTTTTGCATGTAGATGAGAAGGAGTTAATTAGTGCGGTGCCGGCAAAAGGTCTGAAATGCAGCCGTCGTTCATGTGGCGTACAAGGGTTTCCGGGGTTCAGGGATTCACCTTGCGATTCTGAGGTTTTGTGTTCGAGCGGTTGTAAAAGTCCTGTTGCCCTAAACGGAGCTTGTTCTCCTGGTGGTGACTATATCCACATCATGCGCGTTGAGCACGAGAAGCCACATACTCTGCCATGCACAGGAAAGCTTTTGATTTCAGAGCGGAGGGATGCTGTGCTAGCACGGTAACTCCTATGGTCCTATTTAAATGGAACAGTAGAGTTACAGGAAATACATACCTGTAAATGAACACGTTCATGCGTGCTGATAAGAGGGCTTGTAAACCAGTTAGCTGCAGCTTGAGGCTGTTTTGGCGAGTTATAGCCCCACTCATGACCATCCATGAACCTTCAGGTCTTCTGTGCTTACAAATCCTGAATCCCCAAGAATGACTGTAGCAGG